GCTTTTCAAGACTGCTCTACTTTGATCTGAATCATCAGGCCTCAAAAACCAGCAATATAAAAACACATGCAGTTGCATCCCACATCGGATGATGGTGCTGAAAAACCCACCTCTGTGCAGTCCTGTGTTTCCTTACATCAGAAGCAAAGCAATCTGATGTAGCCACTGCCTCTTCCTCACACCAGCCTTTCTTCCCCTTCCAGCCCCTGCCAATACTTGTTTTGTCCCCAGGGTTAGACTAAAGACGGGGAGAAAGCTTTCTAGCATTTCAAGTTTTGATGATGCTAGTGGCCTTTGTAATTTTTTTCTTCAGTGTGGTCTACAAGAGTCTGTGCTTTGCACCATTCTCATCAACCAACCTGTTCTTAATTAAGCTGCATGACAGCTTTGACTGTGTTCCTTTCTATTCAAGGCTTTTATGAACACGTTTAACTTCAGGCATGCATTTAAGTTGCATGAAACTCAATGGCTCTTAAGAACATATCTACTTTGTTGAATACAAAAGGATCTGAAAGCATGTGTAATTGTTCTGACGAAATTGAAGCTGGAAAGAACATATTATGTTAATCTGTGGTCCTTGAAGTGTATTTGTAATTAGCAGAGTACATTGATATTTGTAATTAGCAGAGTACAGAGTGGCACAGAAAGAGCTGCAGAACCCTTAACATTGGCTATCCTAGTGTCTTTTAAACCGTCATTGTGTATGAAGTATCCTTGGAATAGAAATCTAGAAACGGCTTTTACAATGGAAAACCAAATATTTTCTCAGATTAAAGAACATTGGGGCAAGAAGTGGCATACACTTAGCAAAGACCCAAGGAGTCAGAGTGCAAACAATTCAATTGCATCATTACTTGAGTGCTGGCAATGGCTATAGTCAAAAGTCACTAAGCGATACCATGCTAAAAGCGCTTCCTTGGCCACTTACCACTTAGTGCAAATTTATGTTTTCCTTCTAGGCCTGCCCTGTGCTGAAAACCTGGCATTTCCATAAAGCTTGAGAAATTATTTCCAGCCTCTCTGAGAATAAGATAGACGGGGCCTGGCAGCCGAAGAACATTGCATATACCAAACAGATGGAAAACCTAAGTTTTGTTCTTACCAACCTGTGGAACATTTTAGTTCCAAATTAACAGCTTATGTTCACAGTATCACTCTGAGAATAAGACAAACATCTTCCCTGTCTCTTTAGTCATTAGGTGACAAAAGGTTACTGAAAAACGTCCAAGCAACCCTTGTCCAGGGTGTGGAGGATCTCACATTCCTCTAGTGCTCCAGTTGTCAGAAGCGCACAGCTTCCCAGCACATTCTCCACGGTATTCTAGTCTAAGATGAAGAAGATCAATGCCACAAGAAATGGCATTGACTAGACAGAAAGGTAATCATAAAAAGTGAGGAGGAAAAGAGCCATCCTCCAGCAAACAGCAACAATAAGCTGGAAAGCTTCCTGGAGTGAAGCAAAGTAATCAAAAGTCCACCTGAATCAAAGGATTAAGCAGATTTGGCAACACATTTTTTGCCCTCGTGCCCTCTGCTTTACTAAAGTCAGCATAGCCTTCTCCTAGTATCTCTCTGGCTTCCTGCTACAGAGCAAAAGATACTGTATAGATGAGTCCTGTGATGGGGGGAAGAGGGGGGAAATCTGCCCCTTCAAATAAAAAACTTAAAGACATTTACTGTATGTATTTCAAAAAACAAAAGAGAAAGAAGAGGCAAATTGAATAGAAAAGGCAGAGACCTGGAAGGAGCAGTCTGAAAAGATGATTGCAAAATTAGCCTAATTTTATAAAATAACATTTTGCTGCAAACTCCAAAGCATTTCCTGTGGAAACTTTCAACTAGCCTAAAGGCATTCTTTCTTTGACCAGATGTACAATATATCAGCTAAATGTCCTCTGAGCGAATGGATTCCCACAGCAGAGGCACCTGCAGGATGTGGAACAGCACACTTCTATTTCACGTATTTGCTCAAGGCAGCCATGTAGTTCCACTGGCTCATCATCTACATTCACAATGGACAGCTGGCATCACCCAAATGAAACATTAAACTTGCTTGTGCTCTCATTAAATAAATAAAAACCCCACCAAAACCCACAAACAATCAAAATAATGTCTTCAAAAGTTCTTCCAGCTTCTGAAATGTTTAATTCAACTTTCAACTCCCAACCAAGCCAAATATGCCGCTTTTCATGCATGATGAGCACTAAGGAAATGAAAAATAGACCTTTGCAATCCCCCAGAACACTGATAGATCAGCTTGCCAAATCAGGGAGTTCGGAAGTATAATTATCACCAAGTGTCTGCTTCATTAACAGACCGTGATCCAACAGAAAAGTTAACCATTTGTTGCACTTTACTAAGGGAATGAAGAGAACAAAACAGAAAGCCTTGTAGTTAAGCCTTTTAAAGGCATATGCATCTGCTGAGTTCTGCAGGGTGAAATCCTCCCTAGCAGAAACATTCCCGTTGACTTTCAGATGTGGCCCTGGACTTGTCACGGCCCAAGTCACAGTTTTCTATCTAAGCTCACCCAATTACGATGGCACAGACTCCATGGATGCTCATTGTTTTAAAGTTCTATTAACCTGCAAGGCTTCTCATTAATACCTTGATTTTCATCATCCTCACCAGCAAATTTCTCAGGCACAGAAATTGTGTCTATTCACAAAATAGCTTTGTCATTCAACTGCCTCTAGCCCCCCCAAATTGAACACATTCTTTCCCAAAGTCATAGATACTATGGCTTACCTTATCAGGTTGCAGTGAGGTATCTGCTTTACCAGGGAAGCGGAATCAGATGTTAAGACCAAACCAGTAAGAGCTCAAGCACACAGCAGCCACACAATGACAGCAGAGGAGGTCTAGAGGCTATAACCAGTCTCAGCTGAGTTGAGCTGTGAATTGGCAATTCTGCAGTAATAAAGCAAGCCCGAGGTCAAGTTGGAAAGTGAAGCCAACAAGGCACAGCTGGGATAAACAAAGTACATGGCTGACACAGACATACCTATAATATAGCTCTGGCAAGGGCAAAAAGCTCCCAGCAAGATACAGGAGGCCCCTTACAATGCTTCTCCCAGCTCTCTACCAACTCTTTGCACCTGAGCGTAGCTCAATTATTCTCTCTTCATAAAGCTCAAGAAATAGCCACATTTAGATAGGACTACAACAGCTGAGTACCGCTCCTTAAGTTCCCTATTGTTCTTGCAAATTTAGGATTTGGAGTACTTTGCCATACACCTCTTCCACATTGCACTTCTCAGCTTCGCTCTCCACTTCTCTCAGAGCTTTATAGCCAGCTGGCCCCATTCCCTGCCTACAAAGAGGAGTTCTCAACCAGGAAGCTCCTGATCAGCCCCTTGCAGTGGTCAACAACCTCCACAATGCTCAACTACCAACCCTCCAGAGGAGGCAAGTCTTCTGGGCAAGGTCTTTGCAGAAAGGACCCCTTGTCTTAATCAACTTTTTTGTTAAGCCTGAACTTACTACTCTGAATATTCAGTGTGAACTGGAGATAAAAAGATGGCTGGGAAGTCTGCCTTTAGCATCACAGAGATTTTGTAAGTCTTAAGGCAGGTATGTTATGAAATGCTTTAGGAACAAATACTTGACAAAATAAGAACTTGGAGAATTATATACCAATGGGATGTGAGAAGTCCCACTAGCTCCAGTGCCATTACATCCAGGGTTCACTTTACAGTAAGAACATCTGCAGCAAGAAAGATCTCAGTCAGCAGTTCTGACTCGGCTCCCTCCCTTTCCATCGGACAACTGCTGCCTAACAGCCTTCAACTCTAAACCTTCTGGAGTGATTTTGGTGTTGTAGAATAGTTCTCCATTGGGAAGCATCAGAGACTTCTTTAGGAGGTCTCCAAGAACAAGTCATTTCTGTAGTAAATTAGGTTTCCTGTATACAAGATACTCCCCTATATCCTACATACCCTTGAGTGATCAAAATATAAGAGTGGTCAGATTTTGAACAATAGAATATGCAACTTGAGTAGTTTTCACAGTAAGTTCTAATAAGGACAATTTGCAATTTGCAGTGCAAAATTAGTTTATGTAGCATGCCTGTACATAATTTTGCTGCTCTAGTTTGAAAGAGCTACTATAACAGGATACATTAGTTTGCCACTCCACTAAATTCCTTCTTTGCCTTTGTGCCAATAAAAAGAAAACTTTCCTCCAAGGTACTGTGATGGAAGAAAGTCAAAAAGTATAAAGCATTGCACTGATTACACGAGCAACGCTGCTTTCATACCATAGAGGTATTACCATTCCCTTTGATGGAGAGGGACAGTTGAAACAGCAAGAGATTTAGACAAGTTACATATTCAGTCTGAGAAATAAGGAAAAGTGACCTTTGAACCCACGAATCCCATAACTGCTTTTACAAGTTTATCTTTCACACAACTGTGATGTTGGTCTTATGTGACCTGGATATTGAACTTCAAAGAAATGAATTCTAACTTCTGAAAGCTGGAGTGGATGATGAGCAATAGGAAACTTATCAAGTGGATTTACTGCTTGGATGTGGCTGTTAAAAGTGACTCATGAATCTACAATCCCATCACCCATTGGAAACACAGGACACAGTCAAAGTAGCTCTTTTCCAGTGTTTCCAGTGCTTTTAGTTTTCTTACCTTTTTGCTGTAACACTTTAAATGCAGAAGTGAATCAAACAGGAAAATTTATGCATCTTTTAGTCAAAGGAATATTTGTGAAGATTTCTTGCTGGATTCTCCTTGCTTTGCTCATTATTTGAAAGCTCTTCACCAGGCCACTTTTAGTGTCTGGGCTTGACTTGGATCTAGAACCTGGAGCTAAACAGTGTTTTGTTCTTCAGTACTGCTCCCCTGAAGCTCGTATTACCCTCTCTGACCTAAAGCACATAAAAAACCAATAGAGGAGTAGGATGAGGGAAACAGGACTGAGTTCAGCATTTAAGAGTAACTGCTGAAGGCAAGCTTAAGGGTATGATGCTCTCAGGAACTGTTTTTTTTTTGAAACTCTGATAAGTTTTCTTTAAGCACATTTGGAATTAATGAGAAGCACTTACTGGAAATATTTAACAGCCTACTGATACTTGTACTTCTCTCCTCTGCATTTTCAATGGAGTATGGAATCCAAATCCATTTTGTGTCTTGAATAAAAACCTCCTCAGTATTATTTGATATGCTGAGATCAGTGGAAATCATTGTGCCCCTTTCCTTTCATCTCTTATGACTATGCCTGTCAGTGAGTAAACAGACTTGGTTGCACAACACCAGCAATTCTCAGTCAGTTAATGCAGATGTTATTTCTTGATACTGTGAAGATCTGCTAATTGTTATTATCTTTCCCTTTGGTGCTATTAACAAAAGGTTTAAACTGTTTTCAATTTCTGGACTAGTGAATCTCTTTTAAAAGCCACTTCTTTAATCCTGGAAACATCAGGGAATGCTACCAGTGATGAAGTCCTGCTGTTAAAATAAATATTGTATTCCAGTTTGCATCTGTATTTACTTTTAATGCAAACTCCTAAGGACTTGTTCAACAGTAGAAGTCCATTTATCTGCACAAAGCATACTCTTGTTTACACATTATCACTTGTTAAGTGTTATGTCTGCATATAAACAGACAGAAGAATAAGCTGGACTGAAACTGCATGGATCTAATGGGAGCACTCCTGACAGAGCAGACTACAGGTTATAGTTTTTTAACACATCACTTTGAGTTTCCAAGTGATGAAAACAGTCAATAGTCAGAGTGTTAATAATGTTTATAACAGGTTCTGCTGCTCTCTGCTTTTAATAGACATGGTGCAGTTGTTTGCATCAATAATACAGAATCCTAAACAGGTAAATTATCAGAATAATTCAATTAGGCCAGAAGAGAGAGAGAAGAACTGAAGCTTCCATTTGGTAAGAGAACCACCACTGCAAATAAAGAACACATTTTAGCAGGAACTGCTAAACCCATGTCAACCCTTTCTTTGTCATTACATTTTTGGGCTGTTTTACCATGTTCGATATGGATATGCTGCATTTGAAACCCATGTTCGAGCTGTTTGACTCAGCCAATGTTTCACCCATATTCAGCAACATACTGTCAAATTTCCCTGGAGGCAAGTCATACCTGGATGCAGGTGCTGCACCACCATACCTTTCACCCCTGTGATACTGATTCATTCCACTGGCCCCTTTCACTAGGCTGTGATGACTTCTGGTAAGGTGTAATTCCTCATTTCAGACAAATTTTACAGCTGAAAGCGTGGTTTAAGATTAAATATCCAATCTCAGCCTCAAAGGAGGAAATGTAATTGATGACAGTTCTGCAGCTGGAAAACAGACGTTTTGATGTTTATATAGCCATCAGTTTTCATCAAGTTTTCTGTTAAATTTATTGCTGTATGCAGTCCAGCAGACTAAAAACCATAAATGCAAATACTCTGTTAGGCTTTTGCTGATGACATGGTAAGTATTGATTGTCCATTTTCACGTATGATTTTTTCATCACCATTAAACCCACCCTCAATTCTGAAATGAGCAGCAGTGAAATTTGCTTTTGAACCAGCCCACGTTATTTCAAGTTCTATGTAAAGTACAGATCATTTTATTTTTATGTGTAGCTTCTCTGTTTATATTGCAGTAAGTCTGAAACCAGGTCTTCTGTTTGCCAATAGGGCTTTTTTAGTGTCCCAGGGGAAAACATACATAGTCTTCTAATTTCGCCCTGAGAAAGAACTATGTAGCCCAGTTTTGTACGATACTGTAAACGTGTCTTGAAAGAAGCATCTGAATGAATCTACATGAATGGCCCAGCTCACCATGAACCTCAACAGGCCAGGGTTATGATCTTCAAGTCTTGTACTACCCTTCTTTCCAGCACTGCTAGCCTGAGCTCCTTGTCATGACTGAAGTAATAGACAGAGCTGGAAAACAAGATCAGAGTAATTTCTGTATCAGCTATCCCATTTAACATACAAAGAGACTCTCTTAAATGACAAATAAAGATATGCGTATCAGATTTATGTCCCCCAGGTACTAGTTCAGTCAATGACTTCTAGTGGACTCTGTTTATATAGGGATGGCATTTACTATTTTAAGCACTACTTAGAGGAGGCTCGAGTCTGCTAAACAGCAGATCTTTTGCTTTCTGCCTTAAAGAAAACCCCACCAAGCTTTGTTGAAAATCATCACTATTACTTATTTGAAATTTTCTCCCAGAGGCTTTATTAATAAGGGGATTTATTTCTGTGTAGAAAACCTACATTAACAATTACATGATGTTAAGCATGTAAGTGCCTATTAAAAACAACTACCACCATCCTGCAGTCATTGGCCCATCCATTACAGTTTTCAGCTGTGTTGATAAAGCATTATGGAACAGCTCTGCGTAAGGGAGCAGATGGAGCTCAGTGCCATGTATATTGTGTTCTCAAGTGGGTTTTTAAAATGGATCTGCTCTCTCTGGAGGAAATCCACAAACTATCTATGTACACACAAAGCCTGTAGCCAACAAGACTCTGTGAACAGAGGCCAGACGGGCTGATCTTCCTTCCACAACTTCCAACGTACCTGCAGATGGGATAGATCCTGCATCAGCAGTCCTCACCACCTCATGAGCTGACCCTTACACGCTGTTGCTCTTCTCTTTCCTGTATTGGGTAGACTAGCTTTAGCTATCAGGGGAGAGAAATTCTGCTATAGCTGCTACACCCCCAGACTGCCTTAGGAATTTCCCCCGTTTTTATTTTCTCCCTCATAAGCAGATCTAATCCTCATCTGTCCTAATGCTGATCTTTCCATAGGACAAAAACCAAGGAAAGATCTAGAAAAGTCTCCGTCTCTCCTCATCTTTAGCAACCTACAAAACAGTGATGCTGAGGTGAAAAACTTGTCATTCTTTGCAATTCATCCCACTTTCCTAAATTCTTTGGCAGTTTTGTTAATTGAACAGATTATTTTGATTTAGATTAATTTGAAGAGATGTTTCCTTCATTGTTTCTTGTGCCTTGATTAGCATTTGAGATATTTGATGATAAAATGTTATTATATCCATCAGAAAAAACTCAAAATATGGCATTTTCTAGATCATTGGTCAGATGGGAATTAACTTCAGAGTACATTGTAATAGACTGTGTATTGTAATATCTAATGTTAGCATGATATGGCTGTACAGACAAGATCCTTTTCTGGCACAGATCCACACACATCTCTTGATGCCAGTAAAGTGACCTGAATTTAACCATACTGTAATTTGGCCCTTACCAAATTACCCTGGGCAATGAGGCACCCCCACCTTCCTGCTTTCCATAGCTCCCCATTTGCAGAGACAGTTGGTGTGCTTCCCTGGGACCAAATACACACCCCAGCATGGGGACACAAAGCACTGAAACAGGCAGTGGCACTGAGCTCTGCAGGTGGATGACCCAGTTCCCAAAGAAGAGCCCAATTTACACAAGGGCTGTGCCAGGGTAGGGGTCTGAGGACCTTGCGCAGCCTGTGAATCCACACCGAGCAGAGCATTGATTGCAGAACGTGTCTGGGAACATTTTGAGTACTTCTGTTGTCGGTAACACCCCTGAACAGCATTCCCAAGATGGCAGTGAAACCCATCTGCTTTGTGTTTCACTCTCTGCTTTAAGAATTGCCACTGACTTCACACCTACTTTTCCTCTATAATATTTTTCTTCCAGGAAAGCCAGGCTGTTTGTTTTTCTTGACAGTAACTTTGTTGCTCTAGTATCACATTGAGCAAAAAGACATTGTTACAGAAACTTATTTTAGATGATCACTGCAATATAAATATGATTGATTCAGAAAAGCTATTCAAGGAATACTCATGCAACGCTTTGCTGGATGATGCAAGTGTCCTCGATCAGTTGTTTGTATCTTTTATGATTTTAAAAAGTACTACAGATGAAAATAAGTCAGTGCAAACACAAACAGCATTAAAGCAGTTACTATAGAAGAGAACAATGGAAAAGCAAAAAAGCAATTACTGGGTTGCTTGTTTTGGCATGCGTTTGAGGAAATGTCTAATGTCATCACATCTCAAAATTACAAGTAGCACAACCCTACGCCAAAGGAAGCCACCAGAAATATCCAGTATCAGTTCCAATAACTGCTGCTGCTATGCAAATGCATATACAGAAGCACACAAATTATTTAAGCAACATTACCTTCGAGTTTAACGTTTGCATTTCTCACTGCAGACACCACAGGACCGCTGTGATAACATATCCTGCACCTACCAATTCCTTCTTACCACTTGGGCAGTTTCTTGAACCCATATGATGGGTTCAAGAACTATGAAGGCAGCCTTTATTTTGAGAGTGCTACTCGTTTCTGCCTTATGATTCTCTGTTTCCGCTTATGACATGAGCACCAAAACATCTTCCACCATTAAATGTAGCTACACTAGACTGGATACGGTACTTCCCTCTTCTACAGATCAAAATCTGGTTTATTACTTAACGTGTACGCTGGTGGTAGTTTAAGATACGATTTTAGTCCTGCGGTTGCTTCTAGAGTTGAAAACTATTACATTGGTACTAAAAAGTCATGAAACATCAGCTACAGAATTGACTACAATAAAGGCAGAAGCCAGTAGCACTTTAAAATTACCTTTATGAATTATCTGTATACGTCTCGTGAATATGCAGATTCTCTAAATCTCTTATGCTACACTTTGGGGACTAGAAAGTTGATGATACGTGCCTTTGAGCTCAGCCAAAGCATTTTGGCATACCAAAAGAGAATACATAGCAACTGGCTTCCAGGCATCTAAAGCCACTGGACTCAGCTGGCAGGGGTATTTCTGTATTCCCCTGTCTTTGCCTCTTTTCCATACTCACTAGGTAGTCTCCAGAGGAAAACGAAGACAGGCAAGGAAGGGCAAGTACTAAAGCATTATAGTTACAAATTACTCCTCCAGTACTGCTTCTTCTGGCTCCTGTGAACTACAGAGGAATGGGACACAGGCTGTATAGGAGGAGGAGTTAAAAATCGGGGCTGAGGGGAAAGGGGAGAGAAAGGGAGAAAGAAGGGAAGTCCAAATAAGACTAGAATCAAGAAATAACTGAAGAAGAATCAACAAATTATTAAGAACATGGAGGTTTTCCATATATTTATCTCATCTATAATAGATCAATCATTCTGAAGAAAAAGTGCCAGGAAAACAAACCAAACCAAACCAACAAACATCAGTGATCATGTTTAAAATTGACAACATGTGAAAGCATACAGAAATACCAAGTTTGTACAAATGTTCATTAAAAATACATCTGTGAACAAGCCAAAGTGGACCACTGTTTGGTAGTCACTCTATTTATAGATGTGGTAGGGAATTAATCAAATTTCTCATTTATCAATAGGGAAAAAAGGATATGTCATGGTCCTTTCATTACTCCTTTTCCTGAGCTATATGCAGAAAACAGGCAGACCGTGTCTTCTATCTATACTGGGTCAAAAATGGAGTAGGAGCACCTGACAGAAAGTACTACCAAAAGATGAAAGAAGTGGACCTGTTCATTTGCTGAGTGTTTGAGGATGGCACCGTAGGCTTAAGTGCATATTTAAATACACAGGCATTAAAAAACAATGCAGCTGTTGAGGCTCTGCTCAGTAGTATTTTTAGAGGACTTAAAATTCACCAGGTTATACACCACCAATCTTCCACGGCGTGCCCAAATTTGCCCAGAATCCACAATTTTTACATGAATTTCCAGAAGCATTTTTGAAATGCTGCAAACTACACACAGATCCATTTGGATTCCTTCTACCTTGATCCCAAGTGAGCAATTTTAATAGAACTATCTAATGATTAATTCCTGACCTTTCTTTGACAGGAATAAAGGCAACATGATGAAAAAAACCCAAACCCACTGCATCAATTGCACCGCTAGCTAATGGAAGAGACAACCCTGAAACACTCTTGAAGGTTAACAGAGCTACCACAAACACACTTACCTACAGATAAGTGAAGGATCAGATGTTGCCTTAGAAGTATCTGCAGGCAAATTCTCCTGTTCTCTTGCTGTCCAAGACAATGTTTCTCCCAGTCCACAGGACACTCAGCCATTGAAATGGGCAAAAATGAGAGAAAAATAATAAATTAGGTAATGTTGTATAAAACAATGAATGGAATTTCAGGCTTCTCTGTCTAACAAGCCTAGAAGCCTTTCTATAGTCTTAGAAATGCTTTTAGATAGCACTTGAAGTTATATATTATATACATATATCTTATTGAAATTTGCTTGATTCCTAAATAGAAAGGACTCCGAGAATGTAAAATTAGCCTTTGCTTTATCTCAGTCAAAGCATTCTACGGCAATGTGGCAATGAAGCCATTGCTCATAAGCATAGTATTTAGCATCAGATGAAAGCTGCTACGTGCATAAGAATCATAGAATGGTTTGGGTTGGAAAGGACCTTAAGAACACTTAGTTCCAAGCCCTACCACGGGCAGGGACACCTCACAATAGACCATGTCACCCAAAGTTTAACTTTGCAAGACCATGAACCAATTCTCTGAAGTCCCTAATGCTTAGCTAAGCAACAACAATAAAAAACACCAGCACCACCACCACCAAAGTGATAAAAGCAAGTCAGTGACAGTATCTTTTAAGCTGAAGAAAAAAAAGCAACATCAGAACAACCTAAAACGTATTGAGAGTTACCACTATATTTAATTAGAAATGGATGTTAGGTACAGCTCCAGGCTTTGCAGCTCACACACTAACACTGGCCAAATCACTTCATTCCTTTCTTGCTCAATTTGTTTAAGTAGGAAATAACAGTACAGATTCTCCCTTCTCAATAGCTTAGTCAAGAGGTTTACAAAGTGGAGATCTCAGGGGATAAGTCAGTACATAAAAGCATAATATTTTTATTGCAATGGACAGGTATATTTTATCACCTGCTGGATAAGTCAGAGTGCAGAGAGTTAGAGGAAGAGCATCAAAAGAGAAGTGTTCATGTCTGCAAGCTCCAATCTATGTAAA